GAGAAACTGTACATCAGGCTCGATTCTACAATTGGCCACCAGACGGCGTCTCGATTCTACAATTGGCCACCAGACGGCGTCTCGATTCTATACTTGGCCACCAAACGGTGGCTCGATTCTATAATATCATTGGCCACAATACCGTTTATCCAATTCTATAATTGGCCATCAAACGGTACCTCTCCCTCCACATTCGACGGACAATGTGTACAGATATTTAATGTATTTTTTTAGCAATTTGTTTTTGTAATTCATCCAAAGCGATATATTATGAAATTAAATTAACTCAATAAGTATTAACCCTAGAAATACTAAGGAGGGGGCTCCTCGAACCCACAACTTAAAAAATGTTAAATTTGAGTTATTTACTTTCTATAACAAATTCTCCAAAAATTATTTATTGTTTTGTACACCTTTCTTTACGTTTGATATTCAGAACTCCCCGTTGCTATATGTGTAAAACACTGTCTGTAAGAAATCGAAAACGTACTACGCGAGAGGTGGCAGCACTCATGCGAATAGGTCTGTCGCGCTCTTCTTATCTACAGGGTGTCTGTTTTATCTCAATACAGTGAAATATCTTTTAAGGAAGTGATGTTAGGAAAAAAATGTTTTAACAAAAGTTGTTTGGTATGGAGGAGGACGTTATGTCGTGTGAATATTTTTTTTTGTACCTGGTATGATGGGGGGAGATTTCAAAGTCAGTTTAATTTTTTTAAATAGAATGCTTAAATTCCTTAAGTTAACCATTAAACCTGCCTCCTCGCAGAAATCCATGAAAGCATATCAAAATCCGCTCTATGGGATTTCCGAGTGGAGAAGGTTAACGTCTCCTCCAGTCCATGAGCCTATCCTGATAAATAATTACTGTTGTATGCCAACGTAATGTTTAGGAGCTAGAAATTATTACATTTACTATACATACGTATTAGTCAGTCGTCCGGTCATTCCCTCCTAACACAATAAACATCAAAAATTCCTATCTTCGATAAACTATGACTTCATCCCTTACTCGTTACTTGTTACTCATCCTCAAATGACCCGATGACTGATCACTGAACCCAGGATAACACCCACTCTCCAAATTACCGAACCTATATCCTTCGTACCTTTTTCCTTGACCTTAGATCCTGTCGGACTGTCTTCGGACAACGAGTTTTACACATTAAAATATCTTACTGTACAACGCTACCAAGTTTTCGTCGAAAGTTCCGTAGAACACTTGTATCGAGACGTTGTTAAATAAAATAATTTAGCAAAACGAACATGTTCAGTGGAATACAACGTTACACAGCAAATGCAGACACCGTAATTGTCACACACGACACACACAGTACACACAAATCACGGGAAAACAATTACTGTTCACTGCAGTATTCACATGCACGCGCATACGCGACGTGAAAAATCAGAATTGCTTTAGAAATTGCTTTAGAAATTGCTCCTCTAATTTAGTGCCAAAAGTAGCAGAACACCCTGTATATCAAACAATGTAGGCTTTAAACAGAAACGATAGATAATTAACCACTAGGCTCATCCTTCCCGTAGGTCCACAACCAGAAATGAACCTTCTGGTGTATTTCGTTTCCTACAGTGACTATGTATTTAGCATTTGGACTGATTTTGGCCGCAGTCATCTCTTTTTCACCGTGTGGATTGAATAGAGTGGAAATTGGTACGCTGAAAAGTAGAATGTAACAATGTTTACAGTGTCTAATATAGCTTGCAATATATCGTACGTTTCTTTCATTTATTTAACATTCAATTTCGATAATTTCATCGAACGAGTATCGTTAGAGATTATTATTTGACGTTATCTGAAAATTTCTTTACCCATTTTCAGTGTCCCAAACAACAACTACAGAATCTTTATCAAAATCTGCCGACAGCAGCCATTTTCCATCGCTCGATGTCGATAATGTTCTCACTGCGTTTTGCTGCAAACCCGTATGTGTATTATGGATTATTTACAATAAGTAATAACGAAACGAGAAAAGAAAAAATATGTGCTTACATGACCTTGAAGATTTATGGACTCTTTGGTCTCGTAATTGTAGATTAGAACAGTGTGAGAACAAGCATAAGCGATGATCGAACGATTTTCGGTAGTTAAATTGATCACAGGCACCTCAGAATTTATTCCAAAAGACCATAACAATTTCTGAGTGTATTTGGAGAAATAGAATTGTTAAGCTTCATTTATACCTATAACTTGGATAATTTAGGCAATAAGATGTAAAATGTATACGCATTATCATTGAAGGTCAAGTTTCAATTTGCATTAAAGTAGCTTGGATGAGTTTAGATAGTTCAAAAGTTTTGTGCAATAGTTCTGTTGGATTATTTCTAACAACACCCTATGGAAATAATCAAGTGAGGACAAAAATGTCTCCGCGTTATTTTAAACAAAGGCACTAAGACCTCCACCGGATGTGCCTGGTGTCCGCCTTACACGCTGCGATACCATAAAGTAAACAGTTCCTAGGTATAAGCGGACCCCAACTTTCTTTTTGAGTGCCCAGTAACAGTCCTTTAGAACATTCAATACAGGGTGTCCTATTTGAAGTTTTGCACGCAATTCGTTATTCAGAAATAGATTTCGAACGAAACTTAATTTATTTCGATGGGGACATTGTGATAGTCAGAAATCTTATCTAGGTGGACGTGCCTCCAAGATTTCAAGGCGACCCTTGTTCTTTTAAATGGTGTTTAGTCGTAAAATAGAACAAACCTAAGGGAATCCTGTAGCCGGATTTAGGGCTTCACAAGTGGTTACGTCGCAGGTGTCGAATCCTCATCCCTTTGTCCCTCGACTCCCATACATACCGATCCTTTTCCCAGGTACAGTACCTGCGCGTTTTCCACTTTCCCACCGAATGTGTCCTATCTCCGGCAGATCCTCAAACTGATGCACTCTACCCATTTCTTTTGTTCCGACTCCTTAAGTTCATTACCGAACCATTGTCCCTGCAATTCTTCTCCCGTACCATCGAACCCTCAATCCTAACGAGTCCTGATCATTATCCTTACACATTCCTGGTCCCTACCTAACGAACGCATTCCTAAATTCCCCCACCCGCAACTCCCAAAAACCCCAATATAAAAGCAGCCTCGAAAAAGGACGAGACAGTCAGTATTGCATAACAAGGAAGTGTAGACCTTGCAGTTTATATCCGTAAAACCAACAGTGTAAAATAAAAGAAAAAACTTAATAAAGATAATTTCTAAAATCCACCGTCTAAAGCGAACCGACGACACAGGCAACTATTTTGTTCCCAACGGATAATAGTGTCCCTTTTCGCGTTGCCTGCGACACTCGGTCACTAGGACTCGAAGGGCCATAAATCCTGGAGTCTCCAAGGGACAAGTGAGCCCCGATATTTTCACGACCAGGCCCACTTTACGCGAGAAAGTCCAGACCTCCAGATTCCCAAACATTCCCAAACTGGGTGATTCTTCTTTTCCTACGTACTCTCTTCTGATCAAGCCACTTTCAGAAACAGTGGGCGGAGAGCCCGTTATTTGTCCGACCACAATGTGTTACGATCAATGCCTCCCTCGAAACAAAGTAAATTCTGTTTGAAATACTTTTTTAAGTAACGAATAATTCGAGAGATAATTGCGCGTAGAACTTCAAATGGGACACCCTGTATGATAACAGAAAATAATTTGCAAGTAACTAAATATATCGCTTACAAATGGACAAAGATTGGATTCGTGTTCTTTTTTACTAGATGCCGTTTTCTTGCTTTCTTCCCGACTTTGAGAATTCACCGATTCCTCCGAAGACGACGATGTCGAAGTATTTGACGCCATTTCAAATAACCTCTGTCGTTGAAACTTCACACATGCGATGTGAAATTAGTAAATAATTGCATGCGGGATGTTTCATCGTGCGTCTGTAAAAATTTAGTACTCCAATTGAAGGATTATTCTGAACGTGAAATAATATGTAATATTGTGTAATTTAGTATGTAATTGAGAGTTTTGAGATAACGGTACTTAATTCTGTTGAATTAGAAGAAGAAACGCCTTTTCATTCACTACACTGTACATATGCAGTGTTAACATGTACATATGCAACGTGGATATAAGTATACAGAACATTTTTAATAAACAAAAATTGCGTAATCTTTGTATCCCTTCCGCGGATAACAATTTGACAAAATCTTCACCTATTTCTCCCTTCGTTGAATGAAATTCATTTATTGGGTGTGGAAAAGAGTTCGCTGCTTTTATCGGCAAAATTCTATTGTTATGTTTAAAAAAATTGAAATAAGCTCAATCATTGAAATATTCATATATCATTGTAAAAATCAAATTATTCCAAAGGAACATCTTCCATTTTATAAATCGCACTTCCAGAACCCCACGTTGACTCTGATAATTCTGATAATTAATTTCTCACCTTTCTAAACAAATTACTTATTTTCCTAAATGCAACATTTCAGCTGCAATAATGTATTTCTTGCATATGCATACAAATGCCAAAAGTAAAAATCATTTTCCTTAATCTATTCGCCAAAGTCTCATTTCCTTCAATTGTCATTATACCAGGAACTGTAAATGTGATTTATAATTCAGAATGAGGACAAGAATATCAACATTTATTTCACAGTGACGCTTAAATATGATACAAAAACTGATATCTGAAAGAAAATTTAGAAACGTCGATATCCAGAATTATTTCATTACTTTTCGTGTTCGGTTGTGAATTCTCACAATTGGCCGAAACACACATTCACGCCCCTGGCACGAAGGGGACGATGTAACGTTCAAATGTTTTCAGGAGCAACTGTATGTATCAAGGAATAATGTATGTGTAAGGAACACTTTGTTTATTTCACGTAATAAAAAAGAAAGCATCACATGTTACGCTTATCCTCCACTTTAATGAACTTCCATATTGGTCGCAGCAAAGGTCAGATTGCGTTATCGACCTTTCTTATCAATCTGTGGAAGTCTCTTTGCCGTGCTGAACAGTCGTTGAACCAATGAAGTTAAGTGTTCTTCTTCAATAAAAGAAATTTATAACATGTGAAGGAATTGAACATTTGTGCAGTTTAAGGGAAAACGTTAGTTCAGTGCTGGACAGTGTTTTTAACAGAGTTATAAACATAAATAATTGTGGTGTCTCTTTAAATCGTCGCATTCATGGAGTTGTCATGTGTCATCTTTTGCATTCTTTTTATCGCGGGACAATGCGAATCAGCAGCGATTCAACCAAAAATTAACACCACTTCCCCGTCGTTGTCTGCGGTAGGTGAAACGAAAAGTCATTTTATTAGAAACAATGTTGCATATTTTGCATTCAGCTTCCTTTCATACTTTCCCTGCCGTTAATAATTATACTCGCGGTACGAGATGAATACTAACCACGAATTTCCGAACGGCATATCTGTATGTAACGGTCCGCTTGCCGTGCCGTTCGGAAATTCGTGGTTTATAGCATGTTCTTAGGCTATTGAGCGCGAGGGATAGAAATTACTAAAAATCTAGCAAAGCAATTCTAGTGAGCCGCGGAGGAGGTAATGAGCAATAAACGAAAATCCTGAACTCAAAAATAACCGTTCCCGGTCGATCGTGCCATAAACCGTTTCTACAGAAAACCTAACAGGTGATATGGAAAATCCTCAACTCAAAAATAACCGTTCCCGGTCGATCGTGCCATAAACCGTTTCTACAGAAAACTTAACAGGTGATATGGATTTAATGTCTGAGGTGCTCCGAAAGCCCTTTTCAGGGCGGTAAACACTCGTACGAGCAAAATTTTAGGCGCGAGCAGTACGGAAGTGGGTAACGCTGTAGTAGTGTACCTCAAAGTGGAGAAATATTAATAGTAGTAACCAACGATAGTTACCGATAGCTTGATACCCAATTATCGATAATTATCCATTATTTCCGGTAGATCAAATTCTATAAAAAGCTTGTTATTCGAAGAGATCTTTGCAGTTAATTATTAAAAATACTAATATTTGATTATGGTTTTATGCGTTTTCAAAGAAATTTTAAAGAATGATGAGAATCATAATTTTTTTTAAATTTGGCTCGGCAAATAAATTTTATTTCTTGTATATTTACAAGAAACTTATAAATTCGAAATATATACATTATATAGTTTAAGAAAGGAGCCACTGATTTTTATTAAAACAAATAAGCATATTGAAATTTGTTTACTTTAATTTTTAATCCTTTCACTGGCGCCTATAGGCGTTTGGTTCTTAGCACTGAATTTTTCTTCTTTGCACACTTCCGCTTGAATTTAATAAAACAAATTTTAAAACGATGCGACTGAAACAAAAGATTTTGCGGCTGCGATTGGTATCTGCCGTAGCGAAAGGGTTAAACTTCTATCCAATATTATGTAATACTTTGCAATCCTTATTATCTAAAATATAAGTTCAGATTGATAAACTATACCTACACAATCGCCAAACAGAAATATCGAAACTATCGATAGTCGTAAAAAAAGGCACCGATTGTTTTCCACAGCGGAAACTGTCGATAATAATCGATATGTCATCGATATTTCTTATGATTGCCTTACCCTATCGCAATTGGCTGATTAACAGCAAGAACGTAACAAGTTTTACATCTCCCACTTCCTGACCCTAACTCCTCACGGAATCTTCAGCTTTAGTTAGTCGACCTGTATACCTGGCTAATTTAGTCTGCTCATAGATACAAGTATTCACCGCCAAAATATTTTGCAATTAGCTTAAACATTTGTCAATAAAGACATTATTTAATAAAGTCTAATATCTTTGAAGGTATTCTATTCTTTAATTGTTATAAATGTTAATGCGTTTGGTTGGTGTTACTGTAGCGACCAGCTACAGCGGAAAACATTTGGCGAGCAGACTACCAGCACGGTTTATGACGTGCGCGCTTGAAAGGCTATTTTTGAGGAAACCGTTTTTAGCTTATTTAATTTCTAAAAATTCGACAATGCATGTCCGCGTAGAAACTTTCTCCGACGGCCTCAATAGCAAATTGCCGCATCATAAACCAAGGGTTTCCGAAAGGTCAGCCGTACGAGGCCCAGAGGCCCGAACCGGCAGGTCACGAGTACTTGACCTGGAGGAAACTCAGCTGCCCGCCAAGTGACGTCAGGGGAAAAACCTCCCCCGCCAAGTCGCACTGCGATTCCTGAAAAAGCGCGCCAGGGGCGCAAGGGACACGCAGCGACTTGGAGAGAAATTACCTGATTGGTTAACACCGATGCGACGGGTTAACCAATCAGGTACGATTAACAGATAGCTAAAAGTTAGTAAGACGAAGCGAGGCGGGAGGAGGCCAGTCAGGCACGGACCTCCAACGCCGACAGTCCATTTCAATAAAGATCGTGCTAATACCGTGAGGGTACTTAGCGCAACCCTACTCACGTCTCGTTATTTATAATAATAACCATATTCCTTCATTACTATTTTTGAATTATTATTTGGTATTGCTGTCTGTTACATATTAAAATATCTATAATTTTCATAAAAAGTATAGTCGGGGCCACGATATAGCGAGGTCGTAAAATCGGTTAGGCGTCAAAGTAAACATGTTTTAGCTGCCGGGACCCCGAAATTGACAGAAATACGAGCAGATAAGTACTTGAAACCATGGTCAGGACCGTACAAAGAATTCTTGTATCCAGCGAAAGTCAAACTGATTCTAATATATTTACTGAAAATTGAGTTCAGCTAGGACAATTTAGGATTTTTTTCTTCTGGGAAAAGCCGCTTTTGGAAGTACGGTTACAAGTAAAGGTCTTATTAAGGTCTTTAACATCTTCATTTACCTGCTCGTGTTATATGCAGATAGAAAATGCAAAAGGATTGTGTAGCTTAATATTAACATATTTTCCATTTGTAAATGAAATACCATTTTCTACTTGAAGTACCAAATCATATGCTACCATTCGTTTATTGTTGGAACCCTCAAACAGACTGCAACACACGGCCTTGAGTGCCGCAACATCAATCGATGCCGATTCTTGAGAGTTTCATTTACGACCTCGCTATATCGTGGCCCCAACTATACTTGAAATTTTGCCAAAATTATAAAAATTCCTTCAGTTTTTTAAGAAATACTAAGTTTTCGATTGTTGCCGCAAGAGATTTCTGAAAGATCAGAAAATAGTCAGGGATATAAGTATGCATTTTGCAGAATACTTAACATTAACGTACAGAGTCTTCTTGCACGAACGAGCAAGAATTTGCCAATTAATTCGTAGAACGATGCTGATCAAAAATTGTCGTGCAAATGTACTCGTGACAATAGTAAGAGTTTCATCGCAGTTTTATCACGTAAATAAATTTTTAAAAAGTTGAAAAATCTTGAATTCAAAAATGAACTTAAAAATTCTTTCGAACAAATGAACCTATGGAAACCTTCGTCCTGTGAACAATTCTTCTTTCTATTTTACTCAAGAAGCTTTTAATTTTGAAAATAATTTTTTACAAGCATTATTACATTTATCAAAGTTTGCTATAAATTGACACGCGATTCATTTAGAATTTAAGGTAAAAAGTGTTCGTGTAATTTGTAAGCATTCTGAGTATGCACCCACTTTTTTCTTTGATATTTGCTTTTAAGAATTTATATTATAATGCGCAAAACTTTGCGGATAATTTTACAGATGAATTTTATGGAGAAGTATGGATACCTGGAGGGTGGTCACACCGATTCAGCCGCATTGTACACGGAAAACGCTATAACAGAGGCCGTGAAAACTTTGCAAAAATTTGGCAATATTGTAATTACTGGACAACTGGATAATGCGACACTTGAGGTATACTTGAAGTTTGTATCTGAAATCCGCTTACAACGTTTCACGCGAAATAGAAAACTAAATAACACAATAGTACCGATAATCTATCCTTTTTCTATAAAAACTTTGATTGCTGAAGAAATTTCTAACTTCTTCTAAATATAATAGAATTATAAATTTTGAACAATATCCAAATTTTTTTAAACTTTCTATTCGTACAGAAAATAAATTACCTTGTTGACAGGGTTTGTCTTTAGAATTGCGCAATATTTAATATTAACATTCACGAACTTCAGTTTGATTGTTAAATAATTGCAACCTATTTATCGATATAATCAATTACACTGCCTTTCATAAGTACATATTAGGGCACCTATTATGTTCATAGAGAAAATATCGCGAGTATGATTTAAATTACACTTTTTTGACAAAGTTGATATCATATACCAGTAAAGATATACGGGGAATTTATTTACGCTATTAGTTTCTTTTCTCGCAAGTGGTAGATTTGTGAAAAAAATAGAAAGGGACAAAGTTTCATAATTTTTTATAGACAATACGTTAACTCGAACAGATTTTTCAAATTTGTAATGGTTTTCGCGATACTACAAATTTTATCCAAATTGATCTATCTTTTTATACCATATGAAAGTGGTTGCCAAGATAATTTCAACGACCTTCAACGAAACTTATTTTCAAACTCGATTTCGTGACAGAGTTTGGTGTGGCATAATCAAGTGACACACTATTCGGATCTTATTTTTATGACGGCACCTTAAATGGAAATAGATTAACTTTTAGAAGTTTGCTCGTATGTACTCGTTGTACTGTGAAATTCCAGATTAATTCATTTTGTTCAGGACGTTAATAATTTTGTAATGACTTTTCAGTTTTGTTTCGAATTCAACAAGTGTCCTAATACTTATGAACGGGAGTGTAAGTAATGAGTTTAACATTCTTATTTAAACATGCTTATGTTGCAGTTAATGGCGTCTCCACGATGCGGTGTTCCGGATATTTTAAAAAAAGAGGAGCATGAACAACCCAGGAAATAAAATAGGAATGCTAGGAAGAAGAAACATTACTTATTTGTATGTATTTTAAAATACCTCGTATTAACCCATTCGCGACTAGCGCCGGTTATATCCGGCATCCGCTAAATGCTTCACACTGTCTAGCGCCGGTTATATCCGGCTAATTGTAAGCGCGTCGCCTCAACAACTCAAAGTGAAGATTTATTACTGGATTTATTTTAAAATACAGAGCAAGGCCTCAACAACATTCCCTTTATCCAATACATCCTCAAGTCCTCTGCTGTTCCAACGAAATCCTCGAAGATTTTACACGGACACACTGGGAGCTCGAAAAACGCGAGACACATGGTGTGCAATAATGGCACGACGACCAGTCCGTTAGTGGTGTACTGATGCCTAGTTCCGCCGTCGCGAAAGGGTTAAAAAGCAATTCAGTTCAGCCTTAGTAACCGTACCATTAAGACGTGTGTTTATATACAAGAATGCACATTATTAATTTAAGGGAAGGTGGGGCAAAATGGGATCGCTAAAAAAAAATTGCCCTGGGATACTATATTTATTGATGTTGTATCTACAATGTCTACAATATCTACCGATCCAAGGGTGTAGATTCACCCCCTGAAGCCGTGACCATTAATTTTTTTACACCCTGTACAATACAATTTATATAGTCTAAAGTATACGAAATTATAGCTAATTTTTAGCTTTATCACAATATTCTGCTGCTCTGATAATATGTATGTATTAACTAACATTTATAAGTTTTCAGTGTGCACTTTATATGAATGAATATTAAAAATTTTCCTTTTTGCTTTTCAATATTTTCAAACAGAAAATTGTTATATTTTACTCTAGTTACAAAACAGTCACAAGTAAAATTTTTATAATAATAATTGAATACGATTTTGTGTTCTAATTACTTAGTTAAGTATATATATGTATACACTTATATGTAGATTTATTTAACCAAACGTTTTATTAAAAAACATATTGGTTTTCAGTGATACACACATATTGAAAATCCGTAAATATTCCATTCTATATTTTAAAGTACACATTATATTAGTAATTATTTGTTTTACTATCGCTCATGTAGAAGATAAGGTATATTTTTAACAATGAATCATACACCTATTGAATAATTATAGGTCATATGTATGTATATTCTTTTTCAAGAAAACATTATTCTAAAGTTTCAAAAACATACTTATATTTAGAAACTGAAAATTGCTATTCGGTGTAAAATACGGTGTTTAAATACAAAATATCAAGATATCATCGAAAGTGTTAACCGTTCGGTATCGAACAAAAAAATGATCACATCGGAAACTCTTTTTCTCGAAAAAGATGGCATATTAAGATTCGGACAATAACCTATTCGAGCAGATTTGTTCTCAATAATTTGAAACAAATACGCCTAAAGGTTGCTGCAATTTGCGTAATCGAGACTTACAACCTCGCAAAATTCGAAGGTGAATTGTAACAGATAGAAGGAAGACTAATAATGCATATTTCTAGTTTCATTTATTTTTCTTCAAGTGTATACAGATATTGATGCTTGGAAAAAGTATATTTATAAAAAGGACTTATAAATACAACATACGTAAGATTCACATTAATTAACCGCATTCTAAAGGAAGTAAATCTCTTGCACGATGCGATACATCGAACACTGCTCTACAATTTCTTGTCGAAAATACTGCAATATCTTAAAAATTGTCCTACTTGTCTTTAGTAAACAATTTTTCCCGTTTATAGGAGTTCCGCACGGAAAATAAATTCCAGTGTGAATAATCAATACGATCATACTTAAAAATATTCACAAATATCAGCAATACAACAAGCCTTATATTGTGCATACTTTAACTGCAACAACTCTGTGGTTTAGGATCAAGTCCAGAACGTTTAGTTATAGATACACGTGTAAATTCCTCTGCCACTGTGGGGTGAATACCTACTGTTTCTTTCAATTTTGGGAATGTTAAATTGCACCTAGGAAAATAAGAAAATGATATAATAAATAATAACAATGAAAAATAATATTATTTTTAGAATTAAACAATTACGTACTTAAGAGCAGCAGCAAAACCTTGAATAATTTCACCGGCATGAGGACCAATGAAATGCATACCAAGCACTTTTTGATCGCCACCTCGAAGAGCAATAACTTTTAAATAACATTGGGAAACATCTTTTTGTGGTATGAAGAATTCCGTTGGTTTATAATATGCATGATAAACTTCTATATTAGCCTCCCCATGAATGGCGATTGCTGCCTCTTCGCCTAGACCAACACATCCATATTCTAGAGGGCTAAATACTGTAGTTGCTACGTTCGCATAATCCATTTGTTCCGTCGAATTTCCGAATAACCTTCTCGCTAATAATCTACCAGCATGTATAGCAACAGGTGTTAACTCTGGTTTTTTCTAAAATTGAACAATGAGAGTTATACATATATGCTTAGTTATGCTATTTCGTAATATTTTTCTTAGAATTAAAAGCAAGCAGACATATTTAATAACAATAAACCACAACAAAAGGTTATGCACAAATATCAATAAATTAAAGAAAAACCTTCCTTTGAGGAATTAAAATAAGAAAATTAAAAATAAAACTCACATGAAGCACATCACCAACTGCATATACATTTGGAATATTTGTCTGTTCATTTACTGCGTCTATTTTTGCAGTTTTAGAAACGAGCTCAAGGCCAATATTTTCAGGTTTCAGTTCTTCTGTAACTGGTTTGCGACCAATAGCAAAAAGAACAGTATCATAAGTATCTTGATGTGTTTTTCCATCCTAAAAAAAAGCAATGTTTATTGTTAAGCAAACAAAACGTAAATTGCGTTCACTTATTAAAACCTTTGAAAACGTACTTCATCAACCCAATGTACAAGAAGTTGACCATTGCTTTGCTTCTCAATTTTTGATGCCTTAGCAAGGTAAATAAAGCGAACACCACGGTTTTCCATTTCTTGCGCAATAGTAGTTGCCATTTGTCGGTCAAATCCTCGTAAAACAACTGAACGTACCATTACAGTTGTATCGTAACCTAAACCATTCAAAAAACCAGCACACTCCAAACCAATATCTATTTACTTATTAAAGAATATTAAATAGCACATAAAATATTTGAATACAGGTTTATCAATCTTAAGGACATATAGTAACCACACCAAAGCAATATGGTATGAATACTGTGTAATAAGTTCTGTGAAACTTCATAGGTATGCAAAATGCATCCGAAATCATGGTATAATCGAAAAGCAAGTAATTCCTCCTGCAAGAATAAAATGAAAATTAAGATGAAATTTTTTATGTTAGACTTCGTTTTAGAAAAAAACAATTTTAAGGAGATATTACATGCATGCATATATTTTTAACCATTATTAATGCCTACAAATACTAATATAGATAAATATAATCAGTAATGAAGTAGCAAGTATATACTGATTATACTGTTGCCAATACACCATCACTTAATGGAATTAAAATATCGAACATTTTATGTACAAATCTGTGAAAGAATCTTTGTAATTTTTGTTTTTAAAATTTAGTAAAAGATTTTATAAAAATTAAATATTGTTTTTGAATATTGTTACAAACAAGTGAATACAGTTCAAGTATTTTTCTGATCTCTATCTATAAAGCTAGAGAATATTATGTGGTATCATAGAAAATTACATATATAGTAATACAATATCTTAAAATATTATTACTAATAATTTTTGTGAAAAAAGGATACATCCAGCACCAATAATGAGTGTTTTTCCTGGAGCTTTCTCCAAGCTAAAGATATCATCACTGCTTATACCATATTCTAAAGCACCAGGAATATCAGGATATCTTGGTCTGCCACCTACAGCAATCAAAATATTCTGAGCTGTGAACACTTTTTCTTGTCCATTTTTCATTATTCCACATACTGTATGATTGTCTTTAAAATAGCCAAGTGCATTGATATATTCAACTTCTCTGCAATAAAAATAAAAAACGTCAAAAATAAAAACTAACAATCAAAACATGAAGTTGTATGTAAAAATAAATGATACTAACTTTGTTCTAAGTTCAACACGTGTGACCCAATTCACAGACTTTACATGATTTTGTACTGCATTCTTTAATGCTTCCCAATCAATTTTGATAGTTGGTGGATCTGGTACTTTCCAACCGTAAGCTGACGCTTCCTAAAAACATTATATTTTATTGTACAAGGTGTTTTTAATCTTTAAGAACAAATGATCTACAAGTAAAAACATACCTCAATAGCTTCTCCTAATAATGCAGCTTGGTGCATCAATTTCTTTGGTATACAACCAACATTTACACAAGTACCACCTAAACCCCAAGTAGTACCTTGTGGAGATGGTGTCACAAAATCAAGAACTGCAACCTTTGCACCTAGAGTTACAGCTTCTTTGGCTGCTGCCAAACCACCTGATCCACCACCAATGACAAGCAGATCATACGTGAATTTTTGATCAGCTGTAAAAAACATACATGCAATGATAAATAAATTTCTTTAAATGTAAACATTCGAACAATACAAAAGTAACGACCATGTGAATGAGGTTATGTAATATTTTTGTTACCATAGAGTCAAAAATATACTTTATGGAGACAACCCCACAAACGAGCATGTCTTATGGATCGTACGTCAATCAGTTTTACAAAAAAAAAAAAAAGAAAAAAAAGAAAAAAAAGAAAAACGGCAGAATTTGATGAATGTAATTCTCGCACATTTAACCTCACTGTTGTAACGACCGGTTGTCAAATGCGTGAAACATAAATTTTATGTATGTCAGCAATTTAAATTGTGTTTGTATTTAAATGTTATAGAATTTTGGAACTCACAACACATGCAAGCCATCGCGATTCCGCCATAAGGGAACGCATTACATTTGGACCATGGGGACTTGAGCAATTTGGCATGAGCAAAGCGGAATGAGATAAACCTCCCAAGCAACATTAACGTCGCCATGACTATTACCGGCCGATCACGGCCACGTGACGTCACCCCGATGACACTCGTGTTTTACAGTATACGATAAGATTGTTTAAGAACTACACGCGTTACCGCACAACTAAAATTCCCAAAAAAGAAATTGTGAGCAAAAATGAAATCGATTTTGATTACTGGTTGCAACCGCGGACTTGGTCTAGGTCTAGTGAAACACCTGGTGAAACTGTCGCAAGCGCCTGAGAATATCTTTGCAACATGCCGAGACACTAATAAAGCAGGGGTAAGATCGGTCACAAAATAAACGAGAAAAGACATTACGCAATACCGGATTTATCTTACAAGATTGACTTACCAATTGGTGCCATTGTTATTTTGCACTTTTTTAAAATTCGCGTTGCAAAGGAATGTAACGAGTAATGAATTTTCTCTTCAGGGAATGTTAACTGTCTTATATACCGCTCGATCGATTTCTTACGTCCAAAAGACAAGAACGGACTGACGCCTACTTGGTCGTTTACCGCCATCTATTATGTGCTTGCTACAAGTGCATTTTTGATCACGCAATACGCATGCTCGATTGAACAAGAAATTATTGACGTGCAAGTCACTGTTGGTTTCGTTATAAAACGTAATTTAGAAACCGGTTATTTTAGATTATTTTGATCTATATTCTAGAAGATCCAAATAATCGATCTCATGAAAATTCTGTCAACTTGCAAGGTTTTCCTTTTGTAGTTACTACATCTTTCAAATTACTTGTATAGATATTTCATATTTTACCATCCATAGTTGAACAATTTTTTCCATCAAGGTGCATAGTCACCTGATATTATTCTCGAATAATCCATAAATTCATTCACTTAATTGCGAATTCTAAAAGCTGGAGGACATTTCAGCTATGCATTAATTGACAATTATTATAACAGAGCATTTCTATTAACGATTTTATTATTTGAAAACTATATTTTCTTTCAGGAATTGACTGCTTTAGCTGACAAATCGAAAAATATTCATATTATAGAAATAGGTATGTAATGATATTATATTACTATCTTTATCACAGAGTATAATCCAATCAATTTGAATGTTGATAACTTAAAACAGAATTTTACTATAAATGGAAAAGTTTGTGAAATTTTTCTAAACTAATGTAAAGACCAATTTAGTAATAATTACTAAACGTACATATTATTTCATTGCAAAGTTCTTGGTAAGAACTTATGGTAAACTTATGGTAAAGTTCTTGAATGCTATTATGGTTAATTAATAAAGTTATAAATTTAACACGTAAAAATTTATGCTTAAAAAACAACTATTTAACGAAATATAATAAAACTAAGATTTAACATGAAGTTGATCTTTTTACATTTTTTAATTCATGCCCAAACCTAATGTCATTTTCATTTATAGATAGGTAGATAAGTTACTGAATTATTTCGAACGCTTGTTAATAATAAACATAAATCCTTGAATTTTATTTTCTAAATTTTACGTTAGAATTTACTATTAAAATTGTGAAACTTTTTATGAATATTTTATTCGGTGACTAATTTTCAATATACCTTAATTTTTATCATTAAAACATGTTTTACATTGTATAACATTACCAATTTCATATATAATGTCGCGTTTTCTTTTAATCGTTCTCTGACTATGAGGAAAAAAGTGTAGAAAAATTAATCGACCGAGTTAGATCATTAGTTTGATATTATAACATGTGTTCAACTATTTCGTCAAAGTATTTCTCAATAGCAAAGTACAAGATCTTCTGCTCGTACATTTGCATAATAAAAAGCTAGGGGATCGATATAAGCAAATAATCAGCATTTTGTTTTTTATTTTTTGAACTTTAATTTTTATTGTTTTAATTCTTAAGATGTGTACAGTATTTCGTTCAATATTTCGAAAACAATTTAAACGAATCGTTGTTAAAATCAGATTTCATAGAAATTAATTATTTTTTAAGGTACAATCATTAAATAGTTTCTTAGTTACATTTCAAAATATTATATAGTTTAATTATTTTTCTCAATGAAAAGCTTGTAAATGAAAACTGTTCGTCTTATCGCTCTTGTTAGAAAAATACGTTTTTAACACTATCGCTCGAGTAGCATAATCTATAATGTATGCTATAAATTTTTCTATAGATCTACTTGTGAAATGATGTATTTATAGAAACTACATTGTAGTAACGAAATGTACGTGGAAACTCTTTTACTTTTAATTTAATGTCACTCAAAATATCAGTACCATATTTACTAACTTT